GGACCTGCCCTCTGACCTGGGACTGCTGGGAACGGGGTCCCCACCACCAGCATCATCAGGTGATAAGTGGTCCCTCATTATCCCACGGGCCTCACTACAGAGTAAGTGTGAGCACAGAGCCCCACACTGGCCATCACATGTGTGGGGATGGTGCTTCCCATGAATGAGGCGGGACACACGTCTACCTGGGCTTGAACCCCCAGGGGGACAAGACACTCAGACCCCACCCCTGCCCACCTGAGCGCCTCCTCCACCACATCACAGCTGCAGCCACAGCGCCCAGCAGAACCAGGACCCCGGCGAAGCCCACGATGATGATGATGATGAAGAAGGTGTGAGAAGGCGGCTCTGGGAGGAGAAGGGAAGGGAGGGTGAGGGCCCTGACCCCAGGACTCAGCCCCGACCCCACTGAGGTCCCCCAGGGCCCCTGCTGCCCTGAGAAGAGGCTCTGTGCCCACGGCCCCTCCTCACCCCATCTCAGGGTCAGGGGCTCGGGCAGCCCCTCGTGCTCCACATGACATGTGTATCTCTGCTCCTCTCCAGGGGGCACCCCCACGGCCGCCCACTTCTGGAAGGTGCCGTCCCCCGCAGGCCTGGTCTCCACCAGCTCCATGTCCTGGGTCTGGTCCTCCCCGTCACGCTGCCAGGTCAGGCTGATGTCCGCAGGGTAGAAGCCCAGCGCCCAGCACCTCAGGGTGACCTCACGCTCAGAGACCGGGTGGTGGGTCACGTGTGCCTTTGGAGGGTCTGAGGAGAGGTGAAAAAATTTATAAAGTTTGCATCTGCTGTGGGACACTCCACAAGAGCTCCTTGACCATCCTGAGAGTGGACAGCACATCTGGTGTGGGGAAGGGTGCACACAGCCTACACATCAGCCTGGACAGAGGCACCTGAAAGGACCTAGTCTTTAGAAAGTTCTAGAATCAGAGAGACACAGCCCAGGGCAGGAGGCAGGTCTCTGAGGGGAGAAAAGGGATTTGTGGTCCTGACCTGGGTGGAGGCCACGTGACTCAGAAAAGCTGGGGTGAGGCCTCAGACACAGTGGGTGTGGGCAGCGCACAAGACCTGAGAGAGAAGGTCCCCGTGGGTCCCTGAGCCCCTGCAGGGCCCATGGGAACAGCTGATGGGCTATTTCACGGGGTCTCCCTGCACTCCAGGAGAGCCTGCACCCCTAACTATCCCTGAGAGAAGGGGGTCCCTTTGGTACCTGACCTGACATCCAGGGGGCTCCCTCCCTGACCCAAGGAGCGGTGTCTGACACTGACCCCCTCTCCTGTCTCCTTGTAGGAGCCTCAGCCCCGGGGAGAGGGGGCGGCCCCAGGGCCCCTGGTACCTGTGCGCTGCAGGGTCTCCTTCCCTTTTTCCAGGTGAATTTGGAGCCACTCCATGCACTCCCCCTCCAGGTAGCTCCTCACAAGCTCTGCCCCACCGACCGCCTCCCAGTTGCGCAGGGTGATCTGAGCCGCCATGTCAGCTGTGGTCCAGGAGGTCAGGTCCTCGTTCAGGGCGATGTAGTCGGAGCCGTCATAGGCGTATTGCAGGTACCCGCGGAGGAGGCGCCCATCGGGTCCCACTTGGCAGCCAATCATCCTCTGGAAGGTGTGAGACCCTGACCCCGCCTCCTGGTCAGCCCCTCCCGCCCCGCAGGGACTGAACTTAAAACTGAAAGTGAAATTAGGTCAAAGTCCCCGCGGGCTCCTCCCGGGTGGGGGCCGGGCGGGTC